GGTTGGGCTAGGTCACCGACGACAACAAAAACAACGCCTTTTAATTGCGTCCGTCCCCATCACGCATCGACAACAACGGGTGGCATTAAAACATCGGCGAGGGTCTCTTCAGATAGAGCCGAGCAGAGCAAGCACACGAGAGGAGAGCGGGGAATTGCAAAGGCAGGGTAATAATAGAGGGAACAATGGGAAGTACCCGCAGAGGGGGTTTAAGGCAGCCCCCTATCCCCCCAGCGTGCGGGGAGCCGGGGAGCCGTCCCGCACGCAGGGCGGCGTGTGGAGCACCCCTCCCCTCCCACCGGGACACTCCGCTGCCTGTGAAGCTATGGAGAGACGGTCATAAAAAAAGGTGATGGGCGTGTTTGTGCGTTTCCACCACGCCCCAGCCCTCCGGGCCCCGCCCCGACACCCCACCCCACCACACCACCCGCCCTGCCACTACCCGCATCCCACCGCGCCCCGCGCTAGCCACGGCGAGGGCCTTTGCGCTGTGCCTTTCGCGATTGAATAACAAATTAATTGCTTTGGGCGCCATGTCTGAGCCGGGGCACACGTGAAGGACCACGTGCTGTGAGCAGGCCTGGGGCGGGGCGTGACTGGCGGAGCGGGGCGTGGCGAGGCGTGGCGGGGCGGGGCGAGGTGAAAGTGACACCGGCAATGATACTGCCAGGACGTCACGGAATCTGAATCTGCTAGTAGCGGGAGTCGACGTTTCCGCCCAGAACCGAGTCCATGAAGACGCTGTTTCCTACTCGATGAGTTTTGTTTAGAAAACATAATATGTGTTTCGTTTTAGGCTAATCACCTGTTTACCAAGCCGAGACGGTGGTAAGATGGGCGAGGGGGGGAAGCTGATTAACAAAGCTAAAGATTTTTTCCAATTTAAAATGAAACATCTTAAACTAATAGGAACTCGGTAGCCACCTCCTGAACCGGAGGGAGAAAAAGAGAGAGAGAGAAAGGGGGGAGGGGAGCATGTTGTTTAACTTTGGCGCATGATGACACAATACAGGCACCTTCTGAGAAGCTCAGCAAAGAGGCTCACGCTTCGGGGTAAAAGCAGTCGTCGCCTTTGCCTTCCGAGTGCACACTGTGTATACTCTTCTCTCGATCCTCTTTTTCGGCCACTAGGCTTCACGCGTGAAGCTCGGCGCCACGACGCGAGCAGGCGGAGTGTGCGAGGAGAGAAGGGCCGGCGAGCAAAGGGAAACAAAAAGCACCGCATTCTCCGGGGCATGGTGGTGTGGTGCGGACAGGGGGGCAGAGAGGGAGGGAGGAATAGATAGATAGAGAGAGATAGAGAGCGAGAAAGGGGGGAGAGGGGGAGGAGAAGGAGAAGGGCGGGTCACAGCAGCAGCCACCTAATATTTGCGCAGAGCGTGTCGCCGCGCCGCCGGGTCGAGGGCTTGGGAGGACGGCTGCCTGCGACGCAAATACCTTCACATACGCACACCACACACACAGACACACA